CTACATGTATTATTTACACTATTGTTTACCAATCTGAGAAATGGCTTCGATAGTTTCAGATGGTAACGAATGTTTACGAGACGGAAGTTAGTGTTCCTTTCTTCAAGAAGCACTTGAGTCTGGTATATCCCGGTTTTAGTGACACTCTTCCAAGTTTGTCCCCGATCAATGGGAATTTTGCGCCTGTAGGACTTTCTTCTGTTTACGGCAGGAGTTTGATTTGCTGATTGCATACTTGAATTTGGCGGTAGAAGAGCCCGAAACATTCCTAATCAATCGGCATAAATAAGCCAGGGTTTCTGTTGATGAGATTTGTTCTATGGGCAAGATGAAACTGTGTAGCGAACAATACTGAAAATATGATCGGGCTCACCGTTGTTATTGTTCCTCGCCATTTTCTCCAAAACTTCGAATTCAAAGCAAAGCAAGGCAGAGCAATGAGATTACGATGAGAGCAGATTGCGCGTGCATGTACTACCCTCAGCTAGAACAGCATGTCAGAATGAGCTTGTCAGGGCCCGTGCGCATATATATACGCTCTGTCGCGACGAACAGCGAGACGAGACGTGTGTCTAGACGTGACGCGTGTCTAGACAGACACGACGTCTAGACGATGTCTAGACGACGTCTGGCTGGCAGGGGGCTTCCGTGGTCGGGAGAAGGGGAAAAGAAGATTCAATCTGTGAATAAACAAGTCATGAAATATTATAATTTTAATCTCAGATTTTACCATTTCAAGTTCGAGTCTTTTTTTTTACCGCTCAACAACTGGTTAACAATAGTAAAGTCCTGAACTGTTCTAGACCAAAACACCGCTTATCTTACAGTCAACCTTATGGTGGATTCTTGGTGTCTTTTCTACCTACAAATTAATTTACCTTCCTGGGCACTATGTGACGTATATCATAACCCTGGATACGGTCTTTGATACATAAAACAACTCTGTTACCGCCCCCCTCCCCACTCCAAAATATTACCGGTCGTCTGTCTCCTCTCCTTCCAAATCTATCACCTTATCCACGTCATCCTCTACACAAACGGTACTATCGTGTCCCCTCTGTATGCTATCGGCCTCGGAACACTTTTGTTTTACATTGAAACGCATAGAATTTGACCAAAACACAAAGGACAACAACAAACCACGTTTCAAGCAAAGCTGATCAGGTAAGGGTCACATAATAGCGCCCCTTAGCGGATTATTTACAAAGTGCACCTCTTAAGATTGGTGTAGTTTTTCTATTTCAGGATCATTAATTTCACCCTCATTGAATTGATTGACCCATGCTCAAAGAACTGGTGTGGGTACGGTCCAAAAAAAAATTAATAAATGAAAGTGCCTTTTTATCTTCCTTACTGGACCACACAAAAGCGCCCCCATCGGTTGCTTACTTGGTGCAGCGTTAACTCGTGGGGGACAGTTGCCGCAACTTATTTTCGAAATTCTGTCTTTTTGCTTCATTCACCTCAGAGGAAATTTACCTACAATAGTCAAGAGAGTATCTACGACGATTTAAAGTACAACTTACCACCAAAGCGGACGTGGCGCGTCTTCCTGGGCGGAATTTTTACCCAGCTCGTTCTTCCCGTCCGTGCACACTCGCCATCTTGGAAAGGCGTGTTTCACGCACAGGTGCTGTGTCACCTGTAAATCACGAGCAAAATTTGCATTCGATAATCAAGTTAACATATAAGATTAAGGACAGGCCAATAGGAAATCACCACACGTGCATGCCAGAAAAATACGATGTCTTAATTAACTCGGTACAACAAGAGTAAAATTCACGCGACATGAGTGTAGATATGAAATATTTCATTTGTGTACTTCTATCTTTGAGTGTTTATTTCTCTTTATCGACGATTGTTAAACTGAAAATCCAATATCATAGTATCAACAAAGGACATTATACACTTGGTATCAACGATAAGATCATAAAGTTACAAAATATAGCCGAATATAACCGACACGTCCGCAATTTGTCACAAAAAGAACGCTTCTGGCGGAGCAAGTCTTAGATTTTCAAACGTTATTCAATAAAATGGTTATATTTGATAGGTTTAAGCTGAACATTGATTCAATTATAAGGAGGACCAATCAAAACAGCGAATTTCGTCTTATAACGAGGCTCAAAAATATGCACCAGTCCAGGTGCCGCATTACGTCATGCGATGTAGTTACGCAATCCTCCTGGCCAATGTGTAGATATGCTGGGTTAAATATAGGCAGGAATGGGTGTAAACATTGGGGTTTAAAGTAAAAATAGCGCAAGCAATTACAAAACTAGTTGTTGCAATATTTCTATACGATCCATTCTTCACGTCTAGTTGTTTTCTGGACTGATAGTAAGAACAAAATCAAGGAAAATATGTTAAGTAATGAAAAATTAAACAAACATCAATAAAACACATAAACGCATAAACCTTTCGTTCCAGTTCTTTCCACCAAACCCTTTCTAGAAGTGTAATAATTCATACCTGAGGTGTCCAGAAGAATCTTTCCATCCCTGGCGTACGTACACCCTTCTTTACAAAGTTTACTCCCTCACGTTTTAGTTAGAGCCACAGGCGCATAATGCGAATTCATCACACGTGTCAATGAGGGCCTCTAGCATGTTCGCGTAATTATTGCAGGTACTTGAGGAGATTTTTTTACGTGCAATAATTTCACCTACTGCTAGAAGTCGCTTTTGATACATCGCGCAGAGGGTCATTAACCGATGTGTCCTTGATGCTGATTGGTTCTCATCATGTCTACGTAATTGAGTCGTCGAGCCTGATTGGATAATAAAGAGAAACAATTATGACGTCTGCCTCTTTGACCAAATATGGACAACAGACTCATAGCTATAAAGCCGCTTTACTTTTCATGTAAACAACTGAAGTTACGATGGATTTTCGGACGAACGGGACTATTTTAGGCAGTTATTTTCCCCCAAATAAGCTACTGAGTCGTAAGAACTGCCCCTACAAAGAAAAGGAGCCGATTTATGAGGCCAGGGGAGGTAAAAATGCTCGGCAACCACGTAATATTCTCACGAACAGGGGAGGGGGGACATTATGTGGCGATAGCTTTCAGCACCAAGGACAGGGATAGCTTCAGTTTGAACCTTCTTGACTACAAACTGAATATTAATACACAGACTGCAATATACGAAGGAAATCAATTTGTGAATTTTTCAGTGTCGATCTCAATATCGATCATATGAATGGAAACAGAGCCTCTGCCAGGCGTATAACTATGGCAATCCCCAAGCTGTTACGACTTTGCCTTCCACCATGCATCTGCTTGGTTAACATTCATATGATAACTAGAGTTGCCCGATCTCATACCTTCGCCAAATAATGTTAATCTTTATGACTGGCAATTTGTAGATTATTGCCCGATTGTGCAAATAGGATCCTCATTTTCATCAATTTATCATAGTCTTTAAAAAATAATCGTTTTAGTCAGGCATATGTAGCCTCCTGTGGGCGGAAAGCAACCTTCTCTCGGCGGCTATGTAGGATGGCCGGCTATATTAAAATAACGCGTTAAAAACTCTTCTCCACTGCCGCGGGGCCTGCACAGGAGGCTAGGAATATGCTCATTTTGAGACGAGAATTCCTACAACGGCTAGTACGAGCGTCTGAATATGGAGCTTTATTTGGCAATATTTCTGTCATTTCTTTGTTGTCAACAAAGGGCAACAGAAATATTCTTATTTCATTTATTTCAACATTTCATAACATTCTAGTAAATATTATACAAGTATTTACGTATATCAGGGCAAAAGCAAATCTAGAAAGTATTATTAACAAGCTTTGCATTTACTCTTAACTTACATTTCAAATCACAACAGGAATTATTCTTATTATATTCTTTCTTTTGAGGATTTTTTTGTCCTCTTGAAACCAATAAATGTACATGTAGTTACGTAGAAATAACAAATGGATGGATGTAAACCTTTCCCAATTCCAAAAGTGACCATAGTTTGGCAATTATAGTGTTGTTTTATTGAATCTAGTGGTGATCAGTGGTACCGCAAGGGTTTTCATCTGGGAGGCTTTTCGCCACCCCCGTACAAATGTATGTCACGCGAAATGGACTCGTCCCAACTGACGTCATACCCGGAAGTGAAACTGGCAAGGGCACGCATAATGTAACGTTATAAAAAGGGAACTGTACAAAATATACAGTTTCATAAGTCAACACATTTCGGATCATATGACCGAATTGAAACTTGGATCTTGAGATTTCAGGAGAAAAAGACAAGTACGACAGTTGAACGCCACTTGCTGGATACTCAAGTGTAGAGAATCGGTGCCAAGCAAGGTCAGTACGTTAACCGTTATGCAATAGTTACATGTATAACGTTATATGCCGTATATGTGGATAGGTTGTCAGATTCACATATACGCCGTTCAAGTCATTATCCCATGTATGCCTTGAAAATATTGACAATCTAACATAATGTATTGACATTTGTAGAAATAATGAAAAGTCAGCCTGTGAACAACATCGAAATTACATGGCATAGCCGTATAGCTTCTGTCCTTGGGTATTCCGTGAAATTTCCTTGCCCGTAGCCAGGATTTTGCACGTGGAGGGGGTTCTTCTCACTGTCTGATGGACCAGCGGGTGCCGAAGTCGCGAGTTTGATAGAGGGGTCCGGGAAATTTTGAAAATTGAATCTTCTAAAATGGCATTTCCTGCATAAGTTTTTAGAGGATTTCACAGCAAAAATCAGAGATAACTTTTCGTTCAATGACAAAGTTACCAGTTTTTCTAGGATTCCAAGTTTCCAACCCCGCTGGTGATACAAATCAGTCCACCTTTTAAAGAAAATAAAAAGTGGTCTGTGGACCTTTCAGCCTGGCTAGTTTCTAAGTGTTCGAATGTCCAAAGTCCAAACTAATTACATCAGATGCGACCCGTGTTGTCATAGTCAGTCAGTTGGAATTGGAAGTGTCTGCTACATCATTCGTGTATTCTGTTGCTTGCTGGTCAACAGAGAAATGGCGACGGCATCCATGAAAGCGGAAAAGGGAAGAAAAACATCTGACGGCAAAAAGGAGGAAGCTGGCATAGCAGGACCGGTCCAGATCCAGACCTTCGTGTTCTTCGATCTGGAAACAACTGGTCTGGATCACCCTCGCCAGATCACTGAGATCAGGTACATGTATTTATGTTTACCGAAGGAGAACACATTTGCTCAGTTTCCTCTTCTTCCTCTTCTTCTCCCAAAAACCAAAAAGGACAATGATCTGAACCAGACGTCTATCACCATGGTAACGTGTTGGGTTACATCATGTTGCAATTTTATAGCAGGGGGGATTTAGACTCCTGTCTGACCATAATGAATGTGTTTGAGTAAGAATTAACAGAGAAAACCTATGCGGAGGTAAACATTATGCATTTGCTTTGCAAATGTTACTTTTCTGGTTGTACAGGCGTTTGGTCAACCTGTATCGCGTAATACAGTACGTCGGTGTAATAGTTAAGTCATTTCCGAAGTCCTGGTCGTATTTTGCATTAACTGAAGCAGGGTAAAGGAATTACTGCTAAGCTTGATATGTAACATTAGTCATGGGACGTAACATTATAGATATAAGTTAACGTTGGTACACGATATACATGTAACGTTAGTACAAAAGTGATAGGTGAATACTAGTAGACAACATGAACGGGTCAGTATTGTACAGGTTGCATGAAAACCTATACGGAGATGACAGAGGTACATATAGTGTATAAGGGTTACATTTTTGTTCTTCTTTCGCTTTGCCTACCATATTTTCCTATTACATCATCCTCACATGGCGTGTTTAATTTCAGCCTCGCGGCGGTCCGTCGTGACCAGCTCCTGACTGGCACCGAGGTTCCGCTAGGTGGCGCCTCACTCCCGCGGGTCATGGACAAGTTGACGGCCTGCGTTCGGCCCAGGCGAGACATCCACCCTAAAGCCGCCGAGATCACCAACCTCACCAACCAAAGCTTGAGAAATCATCGCGTGTTCGACGAAGATTTGGTTAAATCCATGGTGCACTTGCTCAACCGCCAGGAGGGACCAGTGTGCTTGGTAGCACATAATGGGGAAAAGTTCGACTTCCCGATTTTGAGGGAGGAACTAACTGAATCCGAAACTGTAGATTTTTTTCCACAAAATGTCCTTTGTGCGGACACAATGGTTGTCATTAAGGATCTCTATGCCGGTAAGATACTAAATATATTGTTATCGCTATAATTTCCTGTGTTATGTTGCACATGTATTGGAAGTAATGTAGCCTCTACCAGGCTTCGGGAGGCGGCTGGAAAGAGTAGAGATTGGCCAAATAGAGAGATAACATGCCAGGGGAGTTGGTCCGCTAGAGAGTACAATTTGCCGCACCCGACGTCTCATAATGTACCCTCTCTGGCTGGCAAACTCCCCTGGTAATTTATTTTGGCCAATTTCTACTATTTTTCCAGCGATCCGCGGTGCCTGGTAGAGGCTATAGCCTGCTGCCCATGGATATTTTACTCTGAGTGAAATAATGAAAAGCTAACTTTTTTTCAAAACCACTTATACTTACATGTAATAGTCGTGTTTCGTTTTTGTTTCCACAGGTCAGTTCAAAAGTTTCAGCCTCCCTAAAATTCACGAGAAGCTGTTCGGCGAAGCACCCCCGCCAGAGGTCGCTCATACCGCGGAAGGCGACGTGATCACCATGATCAAGATAGTGAAGAAGTTGGGAGCCGAAGAGATCTTGCAGTGGATGGATAAAAATGCAGCTGCATTTGCCATCTAATGTTTTATAGCCTGCTTGGCCGATCCTTAAGCCCCGCCCACCTTCGTCAAAACATAGAAATGCAAATATTTGACAGACAAGCAGATGCTCTCTCGTAGGTCGAACCGCTAATTGCCACGCTATCATTGGTTGAACTTTGTTTGTTTCTTTGTTTATTTATTATTTGCACGTATTAAAAAGTTACATAATCAAACAATAACAATAAGAGAATATGCGGGGTAGGCCAGAAACCTAGGTGTTTTTTCAAAGGGCCTACCCCAAACAAAGGTAACTATGCTACATGACAAAACATATTTGAATTAAACAATGAAATGATTGATTAAACAAAATCAAGACACAGAAATAACAACTGAAGTGTGTAAACTAGTTGAACTTCTATTGAAATGGACGTTCGGGATCGGACGCCCACCGAATAGCAATGCGTGTTCATCCGTATAGGTAAAACGAATGTCACTAGTACCAAGGTACAACTGTCTACAACAGATGAATATAAACTATATATAGGATGAGAGCGTGACATAATAAGAATTATCTGTCGTAAATTAAGTAGATCGCTGATTGCAATTTTGTTAACTACCAGCCAAGGTCAAGTTTCTAGGACACAGTGCATACCAATTATGGTTAATAAACGAGAGTAACCTTAGAGTTCATTGTAGGACATTTGCTTATTTGGATTCCTAAACAGGAGGTGATACAAGCATTTTGGGAGCGTGGGAGTTGGGATTCATTCAGCCGACGTTTCGGTGACCGTCTGTCACCTTCCTCAGGGCAAATCTGACTGGTTCACATTGCACTGCAGCACAGGTGTTGCTGCTACAGATGCATTCCCAAACGTACATCTATAGCAGTGACATCTGTGCTAGCTGCAGTGCAATGTGAACCAGTCAGAATTGCCCTGAGGAAGGTCACCGAAACGTCGGCTGAATAAAAGACTTAGTTGTGTAAAAAGAGTCTCTTTACTCAGTGACTTACCAATTTGATGAAGCTATTCACTGATGTAGAATTTCTAGTTGTCAAATGACACAACCTTGTAGTCTAGCTTTCTCTCTTGTCATGTACGCGTGTGTTACCACGCGTATATGACCTTTAAACAGTCGCTGAAGCATGAATTAATCAGGAATGAACTCTGGTAACCCCTCTGTAACTCTTCCAGCAATGCAGTGTGATCGATATGTACCGCACACGACCCAAAACATGCCAGACGTGTCTCAGGCCATGTTGATTTGATTATATGGATGACATCCTCTGGGAACCCCAAAACTGATGCGAGCGTGCGAATAAAAAGAGGTTTGGCTTTCAACATGAAATCTACGTGGTCATGAAGGTTGAACAAATGACACGGAGTATGGTATGATGAATAATCTACTCTTCAAATTAATTTCTTTACATTTTCGTCTTTTCGTTTGATTTTGGCATTCTACAACATTGGTATCGTCTTCTGATATTTTTTTTTTAACTTACGGTATATATTTTCTTATTTTGCAAAAGTTTTGTACGATTTACAGTATGGTTGAAAACTTTTTTTTAACGGCCTAAAATTCATGCGCGTGCGGATGTCATCCATATAATCAAATCAACATGGCCTTACGACTTGGCATGAAGTATATACATCGTTCCGAATATGTACGGAATAAACATCTATCATACAGACATCAGATGGAACTGAAGCAAGGGCGTCATATTGTTCAACATTGATGGAATGCATACTCCTTGGCATGAAGTACTAGAGTATACAACGTTCCGAATATGTACGGAATAAACATCGATCATATAGACATCAGATGGAATTCGAAGCAAGGGCGTTATGTTGTTCAATGATGGAATGAATACGACTTGGCATGACAGTATACATCTTTCCGAATATGTCAGGAATAAACATCGATCATACAGACATAGGGCCACAGCAAGTGAATTTTATGGATGACATCCTCCGCAGACTCCAAATCCATTATGCGATAGGGCGAAAAAAAACAAGGTGGGCTAGAAAAAAAGGTACCTACATTTCCAAATTTTGACATCATAAATCTTGTTAAACAAGAAATGATACATATATTTACTACCAACTGTTACAGCATCCATTTGTCACTGAAAAATAAAAGTTTTCAATCATTATACAAATGTTTTCGATTCAGTGCGAACATCACATATAAAAGGAATGAAATACATCACTGCATCAAAGTAGACAAAAAGACAAAACAATAAATCAGAGCCCTGTCTTCACATTTACATGCATCTGCCATCCACGTTCCGGCGTGGCAGCAGACATCTTTGCCCATTTTCGACATGTTGACCACTGTCAGACGGCAAGAAAATTTCTTTTTTTTTTCAAAATCATGCGAAAATCAATGCGCGCGCTTATGTCATCCATAAAAATTACTTGCTAACTAGAAAGGCCAATATTTGCTTTGGAGCAAATACAGCGATGGGTTCACCACATTTTACGACATGGCAGGGAAAGAATGAGAAACACAAGGGAAAACAATGATTTACATTGATATAACTATAATATGAAGTAACATACAACTAAAACAACAGTTGGATAGCTATTCCCTACTTTATTGGTTAGGATTTTTAATTGCATAATGCAAACTGTTGATTTTCAAAATAAAAAAAACGTTCATGCCCCGCATTCCAATGCTGGAGCAGGAAAGCTTGAAATACCTACCAAAACACTTGAATACAGACATACTGTCAGTATGGAAATGCTCTGCGCAGGTGTTAATCAAGTTAAATCCCAACAGCCAATCAGCAAGAAATGCTCTGTGCAGGTGGAAATGCTCTGTGCAGGTGTTAATCAAGTCAAATCCCAACAGCCAATCAGCAAGAAGAATAGAGGAAAGCTGCATGCCTATTGGTTGATGCCCTGCATTCCATTGTGATGACTCATGCCCAGACGTGGTAAACACGGCACACTAACACAGTAATACATTTGCTATAACACAGCCAAAAAACTCAAATAAAACCATTCTAAAAGCCTGTATCACAAAAATTTAAAACCGCCTAGGGGTATTTGCCCATTGTACCTCCACACCAAATTTCAGGACCTTAGGCCCTAAAATGAAGAAGCTGAATCCATTTAAAGATATGGCAGGAGGAGAAGGAGGAGAAGAAACATCAGAAAAAGCAATATGGGTTCACCACCACTTCGTGGTGTGGTGAACCCATAAAAATTACTACCTAAAATGGAAGTAAGGGCGGTACTTTGTTGAACATAACGCCGTTGATTGATGGACTGAATAAGGGTGATGGGACTGGAGTCATCTTAAACTCCGATCCAGTCAGGAATAGATCATAGACAACTATCGTTTTGACCTCTCCATGTCGAGTAGTGTTCATCTTCTTCCCATAATCAATCTTTTGCGGCGCGTTCCTTCATTGATCACAGTCTTTCACGCGAGGGAAGAGAGGAGATATACTAGTAGGTCATCTCGAAATGTCGAGGGTAGCGGTGGTCTGGGGATTCTTGACCTTTCTCAAAGACTTCGCAGGTTCCAAGGAGGTTAAAGGGAAATCGTCGTCAAGTTGGTACATTCTAAGTCTCACAGCGCTCTATGGACCTACGGGTAGATGGACGAGTTTAGAGGCGGAGAGAAACTTTCCCCCCGATCTTGACCTGCAAGAAAGAAGGATACTCCATGATCTATCAATCTATCAGGATTTCTGACCGAAATGTTCAAGAGCAAAAAGTACAAAAGTAGAACGTGATTTTTAGTGGGATCTTCCATTTCAAAACAGTTGAAATTTCGGTTGGCCACCAGGAGGCCCATATTTGACCTTGACCTTTGACTTCCTAAGACCTACCAACATACCAAATATCATCACAATCCATAAAGACCTTCTTAAGTTATGTTGACCACAAAGTTGCGGAACTTGACACATACAGACACACACACAGACAGACACGCCAAAAATACCTCCATTTTTCATGGAGGTAATAAACGTTACCATCCCAATGCAAAAAGCCTGCGAGAGAGGCTAAATACGTGTCCTTTGCGGTCCCTTGGAGCTAGAGTCTGAAGGACACCGAGTGTGTTCTGACATATCTGAGTCACGGTTACAGGATCATTGTGCCATTCAACGCAATCACTTTGCGGAGTCGACTTGATCTATGGCCCTAGTCGTCCCACTTTACCAATAGAACAGCGCAAAAGGACATCGCCAAGAGGTCAGATCTGAATGATGACGAATATCGACTAATTGTCCGGTATCATCTGTCATATGTTGCCAAAATTACGGGCCATCAAAATGTCTTCTGTTAATTCACGTGGCTTGGGAAGTAAGATTGGAGACTAGAACTGTTAACCAGGACAGTTCTATGGCCGTTCTATGGCCGTTCTATGGCCAAATTAATAGGGATTTGGGAAACGACTCACAAGTCTTGATTTGTTTGTTTGTTTGTTTCGCACAACCGGTAAACTGCCTTTACATGCGTAACACACCAGTGTTATACATGTAAAGTACAAGCTGCGTAAGACCGGACTGTAAGGTTTGAACCCCTCACACCGGGAAGTACCCTTACCCTTTTCGATAACTTCGGTGGGTTCTGTAACGTGCGTAGGGTATGGCTCTCCAAAACACGGGACCTATCCGGGGGACGTCCCTAACCGAAACTAGGTACTCATTTACACCTGAGGGAAGTGAGGAAGGTCGTGTAAAGTGCCTTTCCCAAGGGTACAAGATCGGTGGCATCGGGCAGGATTCGAACCCGGGACCTCTTGGGTCTGAGTCGAACACTAGTTAGATTAGGTAGCAGATAGTTTAAGAATATATATACACACGCGGTTGTATCTCACACATTCAAGGTAGATCAAATTTAATTTTCTTCGTGTACCTCGTTAGGCGATTTCCTTTTTTCGTCTTTGGCGCCTTATAAATAAGAAAAGTAAGCACTGTCAGGCTGCTGTTTCTTTCAGGGACGCATGAGGACGCTTTTGTCACAGCTTTACAGAAACCTGACATCAGGGACTACTCTTTTGAATGAATTGATTGTTGAGACTTGGATTCACATTCCAAAGTATAGTTTAATATTCCGATAACCAAATGACGTCAAACCAGTTACGTAGATACAACGTTCTGTGGGCATATTATATTCGTTCCATTGCACGATACAGCATGATCTGTTCCTTGCGATCTTTCTGGTTGACAAGAATGGTGGGTGGGGTTGGGTCGGATCGTTGGGGTCAATGTCTCGCGAAATGTACTTGTTTCTTTTGCTGAAGTTGCTTATCCATAATATTTTTCGTTGCGTTTCTCTGCCGCTTTTCATGTGGCTTTTAAACTCCTGGTGCATTTCTTTCTCTATTTTTTTTCCGTACAAACCTCCCCTGTATGTGCTATTATCATTAATGGTTTCTCCCTGAGAATACTTCTTCGTTTTTCCGCACAATCCCACCCCCGTGCGTGCTATGATCATTACCGGTTAGTCCCTGAGAATAAGGTGCTTTTGTACGGCTTGAAAGTTTGTGACACTTTTCGGAAGCCAGAGGATTTTCTACGCCTGAATCTAAACTCTTTCTTGCCCGAGGACAGACCACTTAATTCCCATGTAATTACCGCGTTCCAGTTACGGCGAAGAAAAACATCTCTGGCATTCCGTAAAAATGTTTACAACATCAAGCTAGTCTCCAAGCAGAGGTTTGAGATTTGACTTACTTTTGGTGTGTTTTTAAGGGCTTTTTTATCAGGCTTTCTTTTTTGCACTGGTATCTGTTTGTACCCTTGGGTTGGCGTAAAAAAAAGATACCACTGCAAAAAAAGAAATCCCGATAAAAAAGAAGCCAAAACACAAACTTCTGCTTGGAAACTATACGAGTCTAATATATAACGTTACGCTTAGCCAAATTGACGTGAAGAAAATAACATGAATTCCTTTTTCGAGCCTCTGAGACAAAATTAATTTATTTGACAATTTAATTGCGGAAGGTATTCAACTGAGGATGTTGCCTGTCCAATTGACTTGAATACCATGCCATTTAAGCATGGCTTAACGTCACTGGTGACATGGACACTTAATTCTCTTTATGCTTCTTAAAAATCAAATGTTGGAATACATCACAATACAGATTGTCAGTACAGAAATTCTTTTTTAATGTATAGAAAGATGCTGTATGCATAGTTTGTGTTTCTATGTTTGTACCGTTGTTTTCTATGGGTGAAATACCTGAAATAAAGACATTCATTCATACATCAAATAGTCGTTGAATCTTTGTGTCTTTTATCAGGAGGGAAAATGTGGCTTCCAAATTGTTAAAATTATTTTCTTGTGCGAAATACCTTTCAAACTGTCATACACTTGTGTCTTCCCTCGTAGAGGTAAGCATATTGCCTCCGTAGCAGGCTTATAGAACTGGGGGTTTGGTGGTCTTAGGCTGTTTTCTGATTAGCCCAGTTCTAAAAATCGGGGGTAATTCAACCAGGCCGGCTATGTTGTCTATATGCAATAAAAAAATTGCACATAAAAGCTCCCAAAGACCATGACGACCCCCAAAACTCCCAGTTTTTGGTATGCTATGGAGGCTAGTAAGCATAAGGGATGTGTTGTACCGCAATACTTATATACACAGTCTATTCTGCGTGAATACTAGCCGTTTGACTTTGAACCCTCCTTGGGTCCCATACAGTCCCTCCTGTCATCGTTAATGCAAACTCATAACGCACATACATGTACAAATACACAATATTTGGCGTGGCATTCGCCGCATAAAATATTAATGCCGTTTCGCTTATTTTTTACGACACAATAAAAAAATGGTGAAAGGACTTTCTCCCCACGCGCACCGGCCCGTGCCGCCAAACTTTCTCCCCCGTTCTGCGTCACGTGACGCGGTGAATAATTAGGCTCAGCTCGCCGCCTTTCGATGTTGTTTAGGAAACGGGCACGCGAGCATAGGGGAAACCTGTGCCGACTTGCGCTCCGGGCAAAATCACGGATTTTTACCGATTCTACCCAAAAGGATCGTCACAAAGGACACTTAGACTCCCAAGCTACCTTTTCTGACCGCAGGGGATGGAATTTATCGGGAAAAGTCGGAATTTCTGGGCAGTTTTCGAGGAGAAACGTTCACGTTATTTGGTCATTTGATTGGGATTTCATCACGACAGAAGCATCAGGTGTTCCCGGGCCGGACTCTCTCGGTCTACCCTTGGCTCGGGATCAACGTTACCGTTCTGACCGAAGTGGTCCGTCGTGTCGGGACGGTGTCTGTCGTTGTCTGTTAGTTGTCGTGTGAAGACAACCGCCGGAGGAGCCGGCTTTATACGACTGCCGGTTCGCCATTTTGGAGAGAAAAACGCTGCAGATCGTCAGGTTTTCGCCCATCCCATACGCACCTCAGCATGTCCTGACGTCTGGCGCTGACAGCCCGTCCAGCTGCGCGCCTCGCGCTGTTAAACCTCGCCCAGCTCACTCGTCCATTTATGGCCGGGCAGGAAAGTTGGCCCAGACTTCTGGGATGTGTCAGGACCGTGGATTTTCAGTGTACGTTGATGTTCTGAGAAAATTCGCTGACCGAGAAACAACGAGGGCATGTCGGAGCCGAGCGAGCCTACGCCTTCGCCCGCCGCGCCTGGCGGGTGTGATGACTCCGGGTCCCCCGAGTCCTCCGCCGACGACCCTCTTGAGAGCACGGCTCCCGCTCTTCTACCGGGAGATGGACAACAAGACTCCTCGAGTGAAAGTGACGACAACAAGAGCACGAGTAGCTGCGAGCCAGAGCGGGAAAGCTCAGAAGAGATCTCGGCGGCGTTAAGCGAAGAGGGCAAGCCGGTAACAGCCTCAAGCCCTCCGAGATCGCCCCACAGGCCCGACGAGATCGTGCCCGATCCGCCCACCAGCGGAGATGAGTCCGAGGACCGGGCGGAAGCCCAGGATGTCCAGCCCTACCCCGAACTGGCGCCCACCGCGTTCTGCTTCCTCAAGCAGACGCACAAGCCCCGACTGTGGTGCATCAAGCTCATCTCCTGGCCATATCCTTTCACTCAAAAGAACACACACACCCATACATCTTACCCACACGCACACGCCCTTCTTTAATTGTGACAAGTGCATCTCTGGACAGGTGAGAAACCAAGATAAGAGGTAAGTGCAAAATAGATATCAGCTGATTCTTCCGATAACATGTCTTGTTTTTTCCCCTAAATTCAGATTTTGAAAGTGGCAGGTGATAATTACCTTAATCCTCAACTGTCATGGCAGCGATGGTGAATTGTTATTAGAGGGTATTGATGGGGATATGTGGATGAAGAGAAGGGATGAATTTTGATTTGATGAAGTGGTTTTCTCTCTCGTGAATTATTTTTCACTTTGCAATGGACGAATGAATACTCAGCTTATTAATGTTATTGCCATTAACTGTTACAAATGGTTGTAATAGTTATTACATGAAAAGAGGTTATGAATTGAGTGGCTGAATGCATTTGAAAGATCCATTGGAAGAAAATGTCATGGAAAGTCACAGATTTCAGCTTTGATATGAGAACGATGATGCTGGCTTCAATTCAGAAAACAGACCAGAAAGATGAATAATTTGATACGGTATTGCAGTGGACCGTATTACACTGTAAATCATGTCTCCTGAAAATTACATAATATCACGCTTGATATAGAAATGGGCAGAGGCTGACTTAATTTGAAGAGAATAATTCAGTCGGTAAATTGCCATTTTGATCATGTCTTCGGTGACCCTTGATATTCAAGGTTGAAAGTTCAGGTCTGCTACTTGACCTAATCAACATGTCGATGGGATAGAATTGTGATAGAAGATGCAAGATGCTGTAGCTGTTAAGAGTGATACCATAGCCTTGGCTTGCTGAAAGTCAAATGCATTAGCTTTCACTGTCTGAACTTTTCTTAAGGCCAGGCTAAGTCCTGCCCTGCCTTTGGTGAGACTTTGGGAGACTTGAATATTTAGACATACCCTGAAAGTTCTTGGAACTGACACAAAGATTGTCTGACTCACTAGAGAAGCACCTGTTAGGGGGCCTGCATGCCCTTTTCCGTAGAGCGCAATCGGCCATTTTAATTCTACGTAGAGAGTAGACGGACCGCTCTAATTCAATGCAAAAGAGCGTAATTTGCCGTTTTAATTCTACATAATGCATTGTAGCTGCACGGAACTTATCGTTAAACGTAATGGGGGAGGTTTTTTTAATTCGGCGTAATGCGTAGCCGGCTCTCAAAATTTATCGTAGAGCATTGTTGGGACCCCCCATGCAGACCCTCTTGTTCTTGTTCTTGCTGTTCCTCCCTACATCTACTTTAATATTGTTCATTTACATATGCACTTGGGTCTGTATCAATTAAAAGTCATTTTACTGCCTTGTATGTGTGTGTGTGGGGGGGCTGTAATATTTGTAGCAATGAAAATTACAGTGCAATTAAGCAAATTATGACAAAAGATTGTATATCTTTTTTATAAGGTTCATATAGCCAGGATGTCATTTTTCAATGCCATTAAAAAGGCTCGTAAATAATCTTTCTGTGCTGAAAATGCTAGACTCCTGTATTGTGGTATCGTAGAGCCATCAGTGTAATTATGTCATAAACCTGCTATAGCTTAATTACCCACCATGCTATTTACCCCTTATCATAAGTAAATAGATACCATATTTGTGACTTATTTTTCATCTGAAAGTAAGTAATGAACATTTCTATTATTTTCTTGACATGGATACTAAGAGAAAAATTGTAGATTTTCACAGTCGCTCCTTTTCTTAGAACAGAAAATGTTTGCTAGTGTACTATTAACACGAACACTGCCTGAGTTGTGCAGTGTAATCTGAAGGATAACATTTACTCTGCTTTCCCCTATGGTTGTTAGGCAACCCTAAGTACCTCCCACTGCAGTTGGGGGTTTTAACAGGGGGATACTGCATATTGGGTTTCTCACACCTGATTGCTAAGTGAGGGGCTGCATGCCCTTTTTCGTATGGCGTAATCAGGCATTTTTAGTCGTCGTAATTCGTAGGCAGCCTCCCGAAAAATCAACACAGTAAATTAGCTGCAAAGCATAAAGTTGTAATTAGCTCGGAGAATTTTACGTAATTGTAATTGGCGGCAAAAATTTTGCGTAATTCGTAATCACTACCCCCCATGCAGGCCCTCCTAAGTGGGGGGGGGCACCTGTGATTTACAGTGGTTCTGAGTAGCTTTCTATGCCACATGGCATGCGGGCACTTGTGTAGGGGGTTTGCCTGGCTAATATTGACACGTTTCACATGCAACCACAATGATGTCTAGTAGGTGCTTTTGTATGGGAGTTCTGAAGGTACAGGTACTCAAAATGCAGAGAACCTTCCATTTTGCTTGTTCTTCAGGAACATCAGTGGCAATTTCAATTCATAGAGAAAAAGTACAATGGAGGTAGTCTCAGAGTAGATGTAGGGCCAGAGTCAGTGTTTTTGAACATATTTTTTATATGTCTTTCTTGAGGTCTGCATTTTTCTCTCTTCTTGTAAAAGAAAAGTAGTAGAAAAGGCATTCTATAAGTATTAAAAAACAGCTTTCAGATTTGCCCATCTATTTGGAAATTAACGAAGGATGCAGAATCAAAGCTTGGGGAAAGGAAGCTATTTTTAAATAGCTTCCTTTAAAACTCAGACGCGAGGCAAAATATATTGCCAATACTAATGTTTAGAATTATTTCAATTTGAACAATATGGCATACCGGTATGCCTATGACAAATATGCCTCAGAACTGTCCATAATATTAATGATACACACTGTCAAATTTTCTTGGAATTGTAACCTTGATAAGGCTTAGGTTAACTAATTGCATACAGATTCAGTAAGCAGCTTGTCGGCAAATGTGGCTTGATTCCTACATTATGATGCATATTCACCTTGATGCATTTTTCATTTCAATTAATGAGTTTCCAATTGATTCCTTTCTTTTCTGAATAGATGCTTAATGCTGACAAATCCTCTTCACCCCCAATTGAACAGAATACCTCATCAGATTATATACTACTCAGCTGTCTGTCTGTCATGATTTTTTGTTTAATTTTTGTGATCCTTTCCAGTTCCTGTATTAAAGATACAATATTTTATCTTAGATGGCCTAGCTGGAACTGGGCTGAAGATGCCCCTCCCAAAAGTAGAGCAAAAATGGCTCATTTAGAAAACATTAGTATTAATCTTTCCCTCAACATCTGCTTGCATATTAGTCCCTCATTTTTGCAAATACAATGTAATGTCAAATTACCTACTGAAGGCAATATCTGCTTGGTACTGCATGAATAAAAGTCTTTAGGCCACACCAATTTAATTTGTTGCTTCTCGGATTCGCCCTGTCCAAAAAAAAGAAGATTTTAGGTTCTGAATCAACTGCAAAATGCTTAGTGAAAGACATATTTTGGCCCCAATGGTTAAAGAAAGTCCCTTTCTTCCTAAGTTTTCAATGTAACAATGCAACTTAAAAGTGCCATTAAAAGTTCAAAATCTAATGTTTTGATTATAAACCAGCCTGGTATGTTGACTTCATGGCTCATATCTATTTTTTCTTATATCTTTTCGCCCTGTCGCTTCATATTTTTTCTGAAAAAATCCGTTAACCAAGAAATTAAATTAGTGTGGCCTCATAACAAAAATGAAAATGAGCTGCTGTGACTTGTCTGACATGTCAGATTTGAGTTCTGATGGCCAGTTCCAGATATTCCAGCCCGTGCTGATGGTAAATTTGCAATTCATGCCTGCACGCTTGGGTGCACACGTACCGACGGGGGAATTCAGGAGCACACCAGAGTGCTGCCAGCATTCTCCTTGGTACACCTCACCACTTGTGCAGACAGTTATTAGCATTCTCGCCGTCACGGCGTGTGCTTTTATCGCTCTGAAATCATTCCATTCAGCCGCGCGTTCCTCGCAAAGCAGCTTCGCCGTAATAAACTTCTAGGAAATGGCTTTCGAGTAGAAATCCCGCATACGAGATAAAACAGATGGTGCTGATGAGAAACTACTTAATGTCGAGGCCGCGTAAATTTATTCTGTTGTTTGACAAAGAAAGAAAAGAGCTCCAAAGCTTTGCTGTAGAGATTTAGATGTGAGAGATCGTGACTTAATGTGTTACTTTTATTGTGCATATTTGATGGCTTGAAAGGGTGGAAATTAAGGTCTTTTCATGTTGATTTATATCTAAATACATACTCAATAGTTTGTAGTAGGGCCATATGAAAGTAATGCAGGCACTGTGTATATGATTCATGAAAATTGCTTTCTTAGATTTTAAGGCCACACCAATTTAATTTGTTTCTCAGATTTGCCCTGCCCATTTTTTTCTGATTTGCAAAATTTAATAAGAAAAAAAATTGGTTTGGTTTGGGTTCCAAATCAACTGCCAAATGCTTAATGAAAGACAAATTTTGACCCCAACGGTTGAAGAAAGTCCTTTTCTTCCTAGTTGTTAAGTTTTTCAATGTAACAATGCAATTTTGTTTCATTAAAAGTTAAAAATCTATTGTTTTAAGTATAAACCAGCCTGGTATGTTCCCTTCATGACTCCTAATATTGTAACATTTCCGGCTATCATGGGGTGCCTGGCCTCGTCTTTTTTTTTATTTCGCCCTGTCGCTTCATATTTTTTCTGAAAAAATCATCAAAACAACATATTAAATTGGTGTGGCCTAAGGCTTAGATGTACAGGCAAACGCTATGTTTAAGCTCCTTGGTACAGGTACATGTGCCAGTTTCAGAAGCCCAGGTTATTGCATTGACTGACTCAGTACACCTTTACATGTTGTCCTGTAGAAAACATGTATATTGCCTATGATTCCAATAGGACTACATGTTACTGGGTGCAGTTCTAATATCATGCGGAGGCACGCTCGTGCAGTGCAGTATGAGTGTTAGCAATAGTCACTTGAATTCACTCCCAGAAAATCCATCCTTCTACAAACGAGATTGAATTGAGAGCAACTCATCTTCTTCAACATTTTGTACAGTCACAACATATTGGAAAATGTATATCTCA